AAAATTACGATTTGAAAATTTTATAAATAGAAAATTATGATAATTTATTAAGTTTTAATTAGAAAGTTTCAAATTGTTGATATATTTCGTAATTATAGTTACTAAAATATCAATTTTTAATTAATTAAATGGTTATTTAGAGAGAGAGACACTTTATTGGAGATTTATCTCAAGTCAAGACACTTTTTTCGGGAGGTATACTTTTTAGGGGTGAGACGATTCCGGATATCCTGGAATTTCAGAGTATCCGGATCCGGATCCGAAATCGTCGGATCCGTGAAAAAACTATCCGGATCCGGAATCGTAACCTCCGGATATCCGGGCTCTAGGAATCGTTCCAAAAATCAGGATATCCGCGGATATCCGGATCCGGATCCGAAATTAATATTAAAAATAATTAAAATAATTAATAAATAAAGAAAAATATATTTTTAAAAATTATTAGTTAATATTTTAAATGGTATTTTTCATTATAAATATAATTTATTATAAAAAGAACTAAAATCAATTTTTATATATATTTATTTATATAAAATTAGTTTAATAGATATATAATATATATGGTTTTAATATATTTAATGCGTCCGGATCCGGATCCGAATATCCGGACCTTAAAATTTTGCTATCCGGATCCATATCCTCTTTTCACGGATCCTAAATTTTACTATCCTTATCCGGAACCGGCCTCTCCGGATATCCTAATTTTCGGAGCGATTCCGAATGGATAACGGATCGGATCTCGGATCCCATATAATAATTCCACCCCAAATACTTTTTCGACTCTTTTACTCTTTAACCCTCCTAACGAAACTTATCCTTTCTAAAATACATTTTAATTGACATCCTAAAAAAATCTACTCTCTCTCTTTTTCTCTTTGTTGTCGTGTACATTCTTCTTCTATGGTGCTTGAGCAATGGCGACAAAAACGTCATTGGGTTCGATTAAACCTTTCGTTGGTGAGAATAAGTGATTGATTGATCGATTTTCTTTCAGTTGGATTATGATTCTCTTTTCATACCATATTTGTATATATCTGTTTTGTTTATGATATAGATTTTCTGGGTTTTGTTGCAAGGTTTCTTTCGTCGATCGATTTTCTCGTTTAAAGATTTATGGTATAGAATTGGATGATTGGATTTCACTCTAGTGATTCGGATCTCAAAATTTTTAAAAATCGTGATAATGTCTTGCTTGTAAAATTATTATAGAAGGGACACTTGAGAAAATTGAACAATTGCTCCATTAGAGTAAAGCTGAGATGGATCATGGAGGTCACACGTAGACTCGATGGGGTACTCTTTTGAGCTGGATATGTTCAGCAAGATGCATTTATAATTTTATCAATTCATATGGATAAATACAAATGGTTAGTGCTTCATGGTCATGTATCTATTGTTGTTCGTTTTTAATTCACAAGCTTTTGACTTAAAGGAATGCTTTCGGACAGGATT